GCAGCAGGAGTACCCAAAACAGCAGAAACAGCAGCCTCTGGTGTTAACAATCTATTCTCAAATCTCCTGCTCCACATTTCCCCGGCAAACAAGGCTAAAAATACAAGACATGCAACAAATAGTCTCTTGGGATCTGCCATTCCATGGATGGTGTATTCAATCAGAGTAATAGTTCTGCTGAAATTCAAAATTGGAGGGAAAAAAAAAAGCAAGCTATCATATTAGAAACTTGCATTCAGAATTTTAAGTGTGAATCCAATCTCAAAGTATATTAGGCTGAATGGTGACAGGGTGGTTGTTTTCATGCAGCATAAATCTCTTAGATTTATCTGAATATATTTATAGATCTATTTAAGCTACTCTAAATTCCTCTACAACTCTGATAGTTACATAGATACTATTTTAGTACTTTTGTCACCAAAATATAAGGATAACTTTATTTTCAGAATAAGTTAGAAAACTGTTTTTGTTCTGGCTTCTTGAGTCAGATAGCGTAGGTTCAAATCCAGGCTCCACCACATACTAACTCCTTGGCCTTGGACAAGTTATTTAACCTCTCTATGTGCCCCTTTTTCTACCTTAAAAATAGGGATGATAACAGTACTTACCTCATGGAGTTATTTTAAGGAGTTATTTTAAGTTATTTTAAGTTAATATGTGTAAAGCTTTTGTAATAATGAATGGCACACGCCGAATACAATAATTACCATTATTATTTTATATTCAAACAAGGCTTCAGAAAAGCCTTTCTCTTAAGGAATAGGCATAATATACCAAGTGGTGGTAACACGATGGTAGTTCTCATGCCAAGAGTGGCCACTTAGAAAGTAAGGAGTGAGCAGGTAAGTGTCTCTCCGTATAGTGTGTGCCTTAGAATGACAGGGTAATGTTCCCATTGGTTATTCTGCCATGCTGTTAATTCATGAAGGCATTAGAACAAGGGGGAGGAGAAGACAATGGCATAGCTGGTCAGCTGGCACTGCCTAGAGTAAGGGACAATCGGCGTTAACAGCTAAGGTGCGATCAAGAAGGAGGAAAGATCTGGGCTGTCTATAAACTCCTGTGTTTGTCCATTAAGAAAACACCTCTCACCCACCTTACTTACGAGGTTGTTATGGAGTAAATCTTTCTTTACACATGCCTTAGGAATTCTCCTTTAATACATGTGGTCTGGGTCTCCAGCCCCGGTATTAAACAAACACAAACAAAAAGCATACAGGAAGAATATCAAATAATCACTCTCCTGAACAATCAATCCCTTGCTAAGCCTTTAAAGCTGGCAATGTTTTCAGTTGGGTACTGTATTTGGTAGGAGGAAGACAATAAAATACAACTTTACAAGTATGAAGTGAGAAGGATGATAGTAGAACATAAACAGAGAAGTACTCCCCTAACTACTAAGACAGCACAGTCTGGACTACCTGACAGGTTCAGTCATAATGCCCTGAGAAAGGGTAGCTCACTGGGAGGATCCACGGGCTCCAAAGGTTTCCCCATCCTAGGGGGTACCACATGGGGACCACAGGCGCAAAGATGGCTCATTCAAAGAGTGATGAAGTATGTAAATGGTCATTTTCCATGACACTATGAAAAAGGGTAACAAGTGTTGTCATTATAAGGCAAGGTCAGAACAACTAATCTCTATTCTTAAAGAGATCTATGCTGAAGAGATATCTCGAGCAGCCCACTTTGCTGGGTAGAAAAGGAGGTGCTACCGGGATGCTCAAACTAAGAGCAAGTCAAAGAATTGGAAAGGGGCAAAGGGGCTTTTTCCTAACAGACCTACAAACTTTTTGAGGAAACGGAATAGAATACGGAAAGGTGGGTCCTAAAATACCATTCACTAAGGCTCCATAGACCATAGGATTTAAAACTATACAAACTAGACAGATAAATGGATTTAAGTATGCATAAACCACATGACCCACATGCATACTTCTCTTGCCGTTAATGCATTACTGTACTTATTGTAGGGAAGATTTAATTGTCCAGGAATTTTTTTTTTTTAAATCAAGGAATTGTGTGAAAGTTCAGTCTAGCTAATGTTATCTCTTTTCCCCCTTTAATGAGTAGGATATGTTAGGTACAGTCTCTAACACAGGAATCATGATCAGATAAACAGCAGTACTCCTATTTTTCAAAGAACAACCACAAATCAGTATAACTGTATGACATGGATTCAATTAGCACTTGGCAGGTCATGAATAACTTTTAAACAACCTTCTTTTAAGTTGGAACGTGTTAAAATATACAGTAATCATGGACCAATGTGTTTTCCTTACAATATGCCAGCAGGCAGCAATATAAACCTGAAGAAGTAAGTCTTGCTTCCAAAGGAAGGAAACAGAGCATTGATCCTTGGGCCACTCCTAGCTTCTGCAGGCAGTCCCTCACCTCAAGTGTCTTCCTCTCTGAGTGTATTCAAAGGCAATCATCTGAAATCTCCCTCTGACTTTCAGAGGTTTTTATATTAACTATAGAGGGAGAGAATAGAAAAAAGTTGG